ATTGTGTAAAAACAACAAATCTCTTACCCACAAAGGAAGACTAATAACGATGCCTCAGGAGCTTCATTTACTTTTTAATCTGTTAAAATGAAACCAGCCAATCACCCCTGACTATCCATAATAATGAAATTTAAAAATATATCAGGAGCCAAAAACATGTGATAAAAATCTCAACCAGCCCCCACTATTCTCATTCAATCTTGGGGGGTAGGGAGGGAAATGCAGCATTAAGGAAACAACCTCTGATGAAAGCAGAAGTGGGGAATGTGGAAAACTGGTTTCATTTTAAGGAAAAAGGTTAAAATTGCTGACATGGGAAAAAACACCCCCACATGGCTCATTTTACATTAAGCATAAATAGAGAACAAAATAGTTTTCTTTGTTCCTTCCTCTCAAACCCTTCCAATCTCCCCATCTCCCTTAGAAGATCAACAGGAAACAGCCTTGTAGGGGAGGTAATACACTTTGCTGGAAGCTTACCGTTGCAACCTGCTGATTTCCACTTATTTTTATGGCCCAAATGAACAGCATCATCTTCCTCCCTCCTCTCCACATAAAAATAGATTTTAAAAAAACCCATAATAAACTTTGTGAGAAGGTGACTTAAATTTTTGACTGGCAGGCACCACTGAGGCAAGCTCTTAGTGCTTCAGTGGGCTAAGCCAGCTGGCTAAAGGGGCTGAGAAGTGAGCTAAGCCAGTGAGCTTATTAAAGCCTGGCCAGCAGACAGAGGAGAGAGGGAGAGCAGCAAGGGTGCAAAGATGGGGAAGTGGGGGTGGGAGGTGGAGGTGGAGCAGTGGACATTGGTTAGTATGTGAAGATCTGTTTGAGGGCTGGAGCCCTGATACTGTGCGTCTTCACCCTGGTTCCAAAGATTACATGAAAAGGGCAAACACAAAAACAAAACAAAACCCACCAAAGAGCAGAGAATGGAATCAGGGGAGACATTTCCTTCCCAAATGGACCTAAATAGTTAAATGGATCCTGGCAATTAGAATAATTAGATAATTAGATCGTGACTCTGTGGGCAGGAGACAGAAACCTGTCTTGGCTAAGTACACTTGGTAGCAAAATGTGCTCAGTTATAAAAGGAGCGTGCTCTCAGTTAGCAGGTATATTTCAAATGGCTCAGAAAAAAAAATGCAGCTGATTAGTTAGATTTAGCCAGCAAAAGAGATTTTGCCTGGAGCTCCATTAGAGCCTGCACTCTCAAGTCTCACTCTCAGTCCCACTGTCACTTGCGCCTCCATCAACAGATTTTTTATTTAAGCCAATGCGTAAGGAGCACAGTTCTGTGGTGAATAACCTTTAAGGTTACATTTGCCTTTTCCTTGCTTCTTGCAAACAGTGCGTAATCCATGAGCACATTTGTTGGCTGTAAAGGTGTACAACAGCAATTTTTGCAATGACAGTGCGGAGAGGGAATATGAGATCTGTGTGCTAATGAGCTGACACTGCAGAGGCTGGGGCGATGTAGTGTGGAGTGCACTACAAGTGCACAGCAGCAAGACACAGGAGGGGACTTCAACAGAATTGGAGGCATTTCCTGAGGAACCAGGGCAGCCAAGACACACCAATGGGACCCAGCAGTCCCTTGGTGTTTTCACATCTTCCAAAGCCCTGGGATGATCAAATCTGGTTTTTTAAAGAACAAACATGTAACTTAAAATGTGTGTACATCTCTTTTCATATATACTAATTTTGTGTGTTTGAGTGTCTCTGTGTGTGTATAAATGTATGTATCTTGAAACCATGATATTCACACCATCCTTCTTTCCGGGGTTATCTGGCCAAATTTAAAATACAACAGCAAACTCAATAAATCCCTATGAAATGGGAACATGGGATCCAAATCAGATGAGTCTCTTTGATAAACTTCAATTCACCTCTGAGCTGAGATCCCAAATAAACCACCTTTCAAAGCCAGAGAGGCTTTTATTGGCTTCTTAAGACACAGAATGAAGTTGGAGTCTGTCTTAAGCAAACCTCTCGGGGTTGTGCAAAAAAAATAAATAAATAAATAAAAAATTTTAAAAAAAAGGTTGCTGGTGAAGAAGAGTCTTTAAATAACTGATGCCTGGGATTCCTTGCAAGGAAACCTTCAGAACACATCGGAGGAGGAAGGGATGCAAAGGGAGAGCAGGGAACAGAGGCACACAGAGGGCATTACCCTTTGTTTATTTTTGGGGTATTTGTTTACCTGCATAACTGTGCCCTCAAAAGTGTATGCCTGTCTCAAGATTGAGAGTGCAGGAAAGATCAGGGGAAGAAATCAATTTTAGTGCTAGGGGAAGCTGCAACTAAGAATTTTGAATGAGAACAGGGGAAAGTTTCATTAATTTTTGCCATACTATTCCACATTGAATGAGATAGGAGAGGTGGGTGACCAGATTTGGACTTAACTGGGATTTTCTCAAATTCTCCCTAGGTCTCCAGGGAGGAGCAGACCAGAGGGTTTAGGGGTCTTTTTCTCTGTGAAATAGTGCAATCAATTGGAAGAATGAAACCTAGGATCACCTGCCAAGCTCCAGTACTGAACTAGTATTGTGTTCTGACACCTGGTATATGTGATCTTCACTTCCATAAGGAAAAGAACAGTCAAGGCGAGTAAGAAGATACACTTCCAAGGCTTTCCTGGCCTTGTGAAATGACTGTTTTCTGCATTCAGACACTATCAGACTGTAGTTGGACTAGTCATCTTTCTCATACTAAGCTTCTGGGCAGCAGCTGCCAGGAGACAGCTTTGAGATCTGGCCCCCATTCAATGATTGTGACATTCAGAGAGGACTGTTTCGGGGACCAGAGAAGATGACAGTCTTCTGAGCTGTAAACCCTGAGAATGCAACAGGCAACTGGGCACACGTCACTGGTTTCTGGATATTTCTCCTGTGTGTGTCAGGGTGTGCATATGTGTGTATTTGGCATAAGTAAGGGCAAGGTCACCTTTTTGTTTTGTCTTTCTTGTTGCCTAGTGACCCACAACTTATTTCACACTTTCAACCCTGAAACAATAACCCAGACTTTTAAGCTTGTTGGCAGAAGTGTTGTGGATTTAGAGAGAGAGAGAGAGTGTGTGTGTGTGTGTATGGCAGGGGTGATCAGTTTCTTTTCTTTGCCCTGAGAGGTAAGGCATTAAGGAAACTGAACATCAAACCTGACTTATTGCCTTTTCTCAAACCTAAGCTTTTCACAAGGTAATGATCATTTCCTCATTGCTCCTTGAGTGGAGTTTCCAATGGCTCTGAGCTGGCTGGTGTCAATCTGATTTGAGCGTAAAAAAAACAATTAAAAACCTTGGAAATCAATCATTTCTGAGAAGGCAATTGGCACTCTTATTCCAGTCCTCAGCAGTGTGGAAAGACACTAAAGTGAGTTCAAATATTATTTGTCATTAATAATAATAAATCTTGGTAGTTTCATGTATTTGGTTTTAAATCTGTTCTAATTGATACTTAGGAAGCTGCATTTGAGCTTCAGCCTCTTGACAAGATCACAGTGCTGCAGGATTAAGTGAGCTGTGTGTTGTATGTGCTGTAGGGACAGGCTGGGATTACTGAAATAAGATGCAAAGTATAGACAGACATTTTGTAACTTTCACACTTAGCTGGAATTAATAAGTTCCTATTTTTGTCAATGTCGGAAAGCCAAAGAATGTCAAATACAGAGTATCACAGAACATGTTCATATAAGGATCTGTACCTTCAGCTAAAATTTTCTTAAAGAAAATACTGTCACATTTCTTGCAAAGTACTTCACTCCCATCCTCTTCACCTAAGTCTTAAAAATCCAAGGAACCTATGCCCTTGGAGACGCTTTCAACAGTTTTTCAAAATCACATATCCTCTGAGGCAGAAGAATTTGAATTCATTCATATATAAAGTTTCACAAAAACCGAACATAAATATAATTTCTCCCTTTAATGAAAGTCAGAAAACAAAAATTCCAAACTATACAAGCCATAAAAACAAAACATATTTATGCCATTATCAGCCTCATTTTTGTGAAAACTTTTAGTGCAATAAGCTTAGATGAAGAATTACCAGTTTTTCTCATAAAACATTCAATTCAAGAAAAAACTGTGTCCAACAGGCTGTCATTTGGGTTCCCTTGGTTTTACTCCTCAAAATGTCCCCTTTCTAGAGGAACGATCACTATGGCACAAGTAGGTATTTCAGAAATGGCTTTGTGGCTAATGAAATTCCTCCTTTTTGATATTGTTTGCCTGCTGCAAGCCCCCCCCCTACACCTTTTGCTTTAAGAACTGTGTTGTCCTTAACAATGGGGGTGGGGGATTGAACAACATTAGGGGAGACAAAACAGAAGCAGCTTTCCCAATAGTCACCTGAGCACTGTCTTCTCCTTTCCCCTCAGTTTGCCAGGTGTTCGTCACTTGTAATCAGTTTGTAGCCTTATCAGTTTCTATCAGAGCTCCCTAGGTAAGGAAGGTGATATTCTAGGACAGAAAAAGGCCAGGGAACCAAGCTTCATCTGTCCTTCAAGGTCACTTGTTTGCAGAATTTCTCATATTTGGGTCCTATCTATTAGGCAATTGTGAAATTCAGCTAATTTCTACAGCCAGGCACTAGCTTTAACAGTCAAGTAATGTACATCCTGAATTGACTCAATCAAGAGACTTCTTTTTTTAATCTCATCTGAAGAAATTTCCCTGAACAACCATGCTATTTTTTCTTTCCTTTTTTTTCCAGCCAAAAAAAAAAAAAGGTGTGGGGGAGGAATTGCCGGTTTAGCAGGGAGGAAAATGAAAGTTTTGCATCAGACATTATTCACAGCAGAGTTTTGTGCACTGCTTTAAGTCCCTCACTCAGCAGAATCCTCTAGAGTTGGTTTATGCTGCATGAAACCTGGATGGGCTAGAGCCCCTAAAATGGTCTACTGAGGCCATCACCCCTCCGCAGCACATATGCAGACCCCAAGTCCCACAGGCAAAATGCAAGTGAGGTCCCAAAGGTCCCAAAGGGAGGAAAAGCACATCTACTTACAAGCATTAGTCACAGAAAAACTATTGGAGGAATCCAAGTGATCTACGTGGTAATTCAAATGGAAGGGCTTCTCGGTGGTGTTCTGGTTGGTGTTGTATAACTGCACGGCAAAGCGGAAAGCGCTGTGCTCCTGCACCGTATTTCTCATGAAAAGTCCACCTATAAGCAAAGGGAACCGAGATTTGGCTTGTGTCCCTCCCAGGACAGGTTAGAAATTAAAGAGCACTGCAGATACGAGATCCCTCTCAATGGTGCGGGGTGGGATGATGATTGATTTTCAACCTGTGTGTCTTTGAAGACTCTTGTGAACTCAAATTTTGGCCAAGAGAAACGTGGTTTTCTCCAGACTGAAAAGGAGGAGGAGAGGCTGGAGAGAAGGGGGAAAGGGGAAAGAGGGAAGAGGGGGCTGCTTTGGGGTAGGATGATGGAACCAAGAGCGGGACTTGGCTGTTTCTCAGGCAGTAGTTTCCTCTTCATTGCCTCCCCCCTCCCTCCCCTCCGTACATCTCCACGAGCTTGTTAATGTTTTCCTGGTGCAAAGAGAATGGTTGGAAAGAAAAACAATTTCATTCTCCGTAGTACCCCATCCTGTGCCCCATAGCCACCCTGCCCCACCTTTACAATACAAGGGTTTGGTTCAGTAAGGGCAATAATTTTAACTTCTGGACTTGTAAATACAGACAGAAGATGAGAGAACTCCCTTCCAGCGTCCGGGAACCCGGCTCCAGACGGACACAGCGGCAATTCACGAATTCGTGGTCTGCGTGACTTCGGCGCTTCCTCACTCAGTTCCT